ATATATATATATATATAAGTTTAAATCACAAGAGCTCCTATAGTAAGAAGATTTTGCGCATTTTAGAGTATAAAAATGGTGCATATTTGAATCTAACACCGTATATTTATTTCTCAAATTAATTTAAATGATATAATTTTGAGTCGAACATGAACAAAAATATGCAAATCGAGTCGAACATAGACACATGTTCATGAGCAATTTCGAACATAAGTTAATTTTGAATAGAGTTGGTTTTGAACGAGCAAAGCCTAAGCTCGCTCAGGCTCCACTGGTTTACACTACTTATATTGTACGAGGGCTTGTTTGTTTCGATTAGTGTCCCAAGAGTATTGTGTTTTCTTCATAATCATCACTTACATAAAACGTTGACTAACTGAAGTAAGTAAACAATGTAAGTAATAATCACCTGACTGAGGACTGTTATGATCAAAGAGTCACCGATAGCAAACCACTGATCACTTATCCCAAACTCTCGATTTAATCCGGTGACAAGAAGTACCTGAAAAAAACAATTAAACAATCTGCAACCTGATTAGCCGGCAGAGATGGAAACAAGAATAAGTGCCCCCTAAGGTATGGCAAGATAAGCACCTGAGTCATCCCAACAACTGAACCAATAATGGTTGTTGCAAGAAAAATTTTCCTTAAGGGGACATTCTTTAGAAATGTGTTGTACGTACCAACACCAACCAAGGATGCCACAGAAGTAACAAGTTTGACACGTCCCATGAATTCTGGAGTAAAACCAAGTTTGTTTGTGCTGTACGAAAATTGTAATGAAGTTAGCAAAAACATATATCAGGAAAATTTAATTTGCAGTGCCAAATAAGGACAATTGGACGGAAAATGAAATTGTTTAAAATAAATGATTTACTACATCTCTTATAAGCACTTTTAGTTCATCTCACTTTCACTATTGAGTCTGCAAGTTCGAATATTAGCTTAAAAAATTACTGGGTTTTTAATTATATGCAAGTAATGCAACCTGGAGCAAATAAATGCACATATAAATAATAATCTTTTACTCGCATCCACGATGTTGACCCATTTGAAGAAAATGGACCTTATATACATCAGTTTTGGGCATATAAATTAAGAACTCCCATTTTCTATGTGGACTTATTTGAGAAGGGTAACGTTATTCATTATATATTGAATAGTTACCTTGCTTAAACAAACATTTTCTCCTTGCATACAAGATATGTACATCCCTATGAACCTAATGGCGAGCTAAAAAGGTTACAGAACTTTTTAAGAAAATTTTATCTAAAAATACTATGCAACCAAATGGTAGGCCCAACTAAACTTATTTTAAATTACCGCAAAATTACTTCTAAAAAGCCAGATTTATAAGACTTCACAAGATTTTAGGAGCTTTTGATTGATCTCCAAAAGAATGTGACCCTCAAGGCCTCAACTAAGGTGCCTGAGAAGTTAAGTTTACAGTTCTGTTACTTGATATACACAAACACAAATATCAGAAAGAGATGCATAATCAAGAGTACATCTACAAATAGGTGAAGCTATATACACCTTTTGAACAAAAGAGGAAATGTAACTATATAAAAATTCATAGGTGATTCGTTGGTAATCTAAAGTGAATGCATCCACCAAGAAAAATTCCATTTTGCATTTTGCATGTGCCAGGGTATTTAGTGTCAAGACTCAAAGAAGGGAATCTAGCTGAAACTGACACACTGAATCGTGATACTCCTGTACCATTCAGTTACAACTAAATCCTATCCTTACTTCTATAAATACCTTTATAATTGCCTGAACATTGACTCGGTTCTGATTTTTCAATTTTCTGCTTTCTCCTTTATCAATTCTGCTTTCCTGCTTCTTTCCTCTCTTCTAAATCTGTCAGGCTGTAAAGAATCTGTGAAGTCTACATGGTATCAGGGCCTACGCACAGCTGCAATTTAAGGTTATCGCTATGAATTCCTCATCCAACTCCTCTGCAAATGTTGCTACCCCTACCTCCAGCTCTACCTCAAAGCCAGATGACAAACCCATACCCACCCAACTGAAATTTCTCATGGCTAACATCAAGAACATCATATCAATTCAGCTTGCTCCTGATAATCACCCTGCTCAGAATATTCGGATCGTGAAATTATTTCAATGCAATGGATACAGAAGATTCTTGAATGGATCTTGCAGCTAGCGTGATCACTACAGCATCGATTCCATGTGTAACTCTATGTCAAATCCTGATTACATCAAATAGACACATAGATCAACATCTTACTGCCGACCTATATTCGATTTTCTCCCCTTCTCCCCTTCCCTTATTCCTGAATTATGAAAACAGCTACGAAATATGGCACACTTTGGAATGTCACTTCCAATCTACCAGTCGTTCTCGGATTATCCAACTAAATAATGAGTTAAACAACATTTTCATGAAAAACGATAACCCGATCTCTTTCTACCACCGGAGCAAATCTTGATTCGGAGGACATTGTCCTTTATACTCTCAACACCTTATTGTGCATTTAGGAACTCAATATAGCTCAAGAAGCCTCCAAAGAATTATATCAATCTCAGCAAACTGCTCTTATGGCTACCACAGGATGCAGTAGAAATCGCAATTTCAACAGCGGTGGAACTTCTCCAGCACCACAGTCAAATAATCCTACTTGCAACCCCAAATCCCCTTCCATCATTTGCCAAATTTGTAACAAACCTGGGCATTCAGCCTTCAAATGCTGGTATAGGCATGATAAAACTTAGCAAACCCCAGCTGCCTTACTTTCTGAATTCCAAACCAACTCTCAAAACAGTTGGTACCTCAACAGCGGCACAAATGAACATTTAACAACTGATCAAAATCAAATCACAAATGCACAAGAATACAAAGGAAAAAGTTCAATCACTGTTGAAAATGGACAATAACTACGCATAACACACTAGCCAAGGTCTTCACCCAACACCTACATGTAAGTTACTCCTACACAACCTCCACAATGTACCCAATCTTGCCTACAACTTATCTCCATCCACAAACTCACATCTAATAATTCTTGCTCTATCACATTTACTGCTAGTGGACATTCTATTAAGGATGTGCAAACCAATCAAAAACTTCTAAAGGGACCCTGTGTGCTTGGACTCTACCTCATACAAAGATCACCTACAACCAAAATTCCTTCAAGATTGCTTGCTCACCATTCAACAGATCCCCAATTTATGGCATGTCGTCTCGGGCACCTATCTCTCAAGATTCAATCATCATTAGCCAAAAGCATACAAACTCTTTGTTCTAAATAAAAAAATTTACAATTTATTTCATGTCACATAGCTAAAAATCATTAATTTTCATTCATTACATCTACATCGCATGCATCCCATCCTTAAGAAGTCATATATTATGATGTATGGGGCCCTTCCCTTGCCACATCTCCGCAACTCTATAAATACTACGTTATTTTTTTAGTAATTGTTCTCGTTATTCATGGGTTTATCCACTTCGCCATAAAAATAAAATCATTAATAATTTTGTTGACTTCAAAAATCTGGTGGAGAGAATTTAAGAAACCTATCAAAACCCTTTGCACTACCGGGGGGGGACAAATACCTAAACACAATTTGCACTAACCTCATTAGACAATGGGGCATGCATCATCAATACACTTGCCCCATAATCCTAGAAAAAATGACATTACTGAAAGAAAGCATCGCCACCTCATTGAGACTGTTCACACACTCCTAAATGAAGCATCCTTGCCTCTATATCTTTGGATTGATACCATGCTGACCGCCTGTTATAATTTAAATGTTTGCCCTTCACAAAGATCAATTTGAAGTTTCCATATGAACTCTTACATCCCCGTCCAACCACTTACAACCACCTCAAAGTCTATGGATGCCAATGTTTTCCTTGGCTCTGACTATACTCCAAAAACAAGCTCCTCCCACTCTCAAAAAGCTGTAAATTCATTCGATACGCTGCCTCACAAAAGGAATACAAATGCCTTGATCATCAAACAAAGAAAGTCTATATTTCCAGGCATGTTATATTCAATAAAGCTATTTTCCCATGTCACAACGCCTACAAGCCCAAAGCTCGCCAAAATCCCCCTCCTCTTGACCGTCCTCCGCCCCTTGTTCCTACATCCACCATACAACCGACATTTCACCCTACTCAGCTAACTTTATTTCTCGACCCACCGAAAGATACCATACCACTATCCTTCAATCACCTCATGCAACCCATATCTCTACCAATCCAATCCTCTACTCACTCCGCAACAATGGAATCCTTTGCAAACCCACAAACAAATGGTCATTATAAACCAAGACAAAACCAAAATTTAACACATCAACTCCACCCTTCTTATCCAACTTGCTACACTGCGGCTATCAAACACCCTCATTGGCGCAAAGCCATGTCAGTCGAATTCCAAGCTTTGCAATCCCAAGGTACATGGGTCTTAGTACCCCATCCCCAAATTAAAATATACTGGGATGTAAGTGAACATTTAAAACCAAGCTGAAAATAGATGGGTCTATTGCTGCCAGATACAAAGCTCGTTTAGTTGCGTAAGGATTCAAACAATATCCATGACTTGATCATGCTGAAACTTTAAGCCACGTGGCCAAAATATCCACAATTCGTATGTTTCTCACTATTGATCTAGCACGTAACTGGCTTGTACTTCAACTTGATGTCTCAAATGCTTTCCTTCATGGTCATCTTACCGAGACGATTTATATGCAACAACCTCATAGCTTTAACAAAAAGCAGCTCCCAATCACGTTTCTCTCCTCAAAAATGCTCTCTAAAGCCTAAAGCAAGCCTCCCCCCAATGGTTTGCCAATCTTAAAAACTACCGTCAAACCCTCAGCTTCACCCAAGTTCTGTTAATCCATCTTCATTCTGCTTTCAACAAAATTCCAGTCAAGTCTATCTATTTATATATGTTGATAACATATTGCTTACCGGAAATAACCAAACCCCCATCAGAAACATTCTCACTAGCTTCAACAAAAGATTCATGATTAAAAATCTAGGTGCTATTTCTCAGTTTCTTGGAATTTCAGCCAAATCAAGATCTGCTTGATTCTACCAAGATCAATTTTAATACGCCCAAAGCATTTTATCCACATCCAGCATGGCTGATTCCAACTGGTTACCAATCCTTCATCCGGGAAGAATGATATTACTACTGACAAAGTCACTGAATTCTCAAACCCATCATTTTATCATCAAATTTTACCATCGCAACATGATTTCCAACAGCTCAAACACATATTCCCATACATTCAAGGAACCAAACACATTGGTCTACCATATTGAGAAATAAATTAAAGCATACACCGTATGTTGATTCGGACTGAGTTGGAGATCCCATAGATTGCAAATCTACTATTAACTATTGTGTTTTCTTTGGTAACACCATAATCTCACAGTCTGTTAAAAAACAACCAACTATTGCTCGCTCTTCCACCAAAGCTGAGTTCCGAGCCCTTGCCACTCCAACCACTGATATCATTTGGTTAGGACATCTTCTGCAAGAATTCAATATTTTTGTGCCCCATGCCACTTCATTATATTGTGACAATACTTCTGCCATTGCACTCACGAACAACCCTATTTCTATGCAAGAACTAAACATATAGAGAAAGATAATCATTTTATCAGGGAATGCATAAAGAACAATCACATTGTTGTACATCACATAGCTAGAGAAGACCAGCTACCAGATGTATTCACGAAATCCCTCACAAACGCCTGCTTCAAACACTTATGTTCCA